GATATAGGCTCTAAATCAATAAAAATAGATCTCAGGTTAGTTTGCTTAAAAGATAATTAAAAAGATTTAGGTCCATAAATGAAATTAAGAATTTTGTGTCTGTGTATATACTAAATGACATATAAATCTTATGGACAGAGTGCAAAGTGTTAATTTCCATAAATAATGTATATTAAATGCTTCATATGCACAATAACACTATAATAAACAAATATATACTTGCTAAATCATTTTCAATCACCCAAAAAGATTTATATCAATAGAAAAGTGAAAACAAGAATTTTATATTGATGTGTAAAATTAGAACCGGATCTGTAAAAGTGTTGGCCTTCCTTAAGTAACAATTACTATGGAACTTTTAGCATCGTATTTACTTGTTTTAGCCAGTTTTTACCTAACCTTTATATTACTGTTCACAAAATATGAACAATTTTGTATGCTGAGATACACTTCCGTTTAATATTGTCTAACTTTTTAAAAATATGGTAACCTATACATGTCTTGCTATTATTATTTGATTTTAACTTCATGTATATACCGTGAAAAAAAATGCAATTGGTCTATTTTGATCACACAAAACTCTTTTGATGGAAATACCTTAATGAAATGTGGATGCTACTCAAAGAGCTTTGGCATCATACACGAGTATTTCAGCAAAATTAAAATCATCAAAACATAAAACGTTTCTCATTTTCGAATTTTGCGTTTCTTAAACCCATCTGTTTTAAACGATTTAAAGCTTAAACATCTTGTCATATGCAAACTTGCGTCATTTCATTATTAAACAATAATATCTAATACTGTAACACACAAGAAAGCTCTAAACACTGCACACTAAATAGCGCCGTTTATATGGGAGTTTTATACAGTTAGAGTGATCAACCCTTAGACGTAAGAGAAAAAAGGTTATTTAAAGTTAACACAATTTGAAATACATTAAAATATACGTAGCATTAAATCAGACCATGAATGATAAAAAATTTCATTTCTTCCATTTACTTTCCTTATGTAAGTAAACAACAGTGATTTCTGCTCCCAAGTAGTCTATTGTCTTTTAACATTTTTCCTTTGGAAATAAGGTAGGTACCCTCTGTTGAATATTATCAATATGCACACTTCTGTATAATATATTTTTCTCCAAGTCCAATCAAGTACTTTTTATTATTTTTTAGAGCTTCCTTAATCCTAGGTGATAAGCCAGGGCATATTTTTGTCATTTCATTAAATAGACTTGGCTACATGTAACACATGTTTGATGGATTTTTCATATTTCCTGCACTTAATTAATACATAATTCTAAAAGGATGTGTATTTCCTAGCATTTCCTAAATGAAGTTGATCATTAAAATAAATGTTGGATTGATTTCAAATATTTTAGAGAAAAGCGAGTATGACAAATTTGTTAATAAAAATAATGAACCTTAATTGAATTTTAACTCTTTTCCTCAAAAATATAAGGAAACATTCGTTGTTTTTCTTCATTTTGTTGAATATTGTAGAATATATAAGCGAGGGTTGAATGAGTTGACAAATGGTAAGTATTTATTTCATGTAGTACATGACACCAAAAAAATCAGTTTAACGAATTGCAATAATGATACCGAGAAAGAACTAACCATGTTGATCGGACCTTTTTCGATCACTCTAGTAGTGAATTTGCTATCAAGTCTTACCATTAAAGCCTGCTCAATCAGGTAGGTGACCAATAAAAAATTCTATTGTTATGCAATTTATGACGCAGTTTTAAAAGCATAATAAAGGAATGAATATAACTTTTAATTAAGAAATGCAACAGGGGGAGAGAAATGCTGCACAAACTTTTACAAAGTCAACAACACCTGTCAAGGTAGTTATTTTTTTATATTATAAATTCTTTAGCTCTTTTATTTTTATGCCAAATCCTAATTATTTTCTTAAATAAAGTAGAGTATTTAAGTGGTAGACTAAACAATAAGCCACTTTCAAAATCGGTTAAATGAAGTGTTGAAGGGGCGATCAATGTAAATTAATATATATGCGTCTTTGATTTTAGCCTGCTTTCCTGGCTATTTTGGTGAGCAATGTAGATTTGCCTGTGAGTATCCGTGGTTTGGACTTCATTGTCTAGATAAATGCAACTGTTCAAAGGAATATTGTAATCACATAGATGGTTGTAAAGCAATTCCAGGTATATGAATGTGTCACACGTAACACATGAAGTAAATTTTGATTTCTGATTCTTTATCTTTTCTATTTAAAAAATTGTTAAGGAATTTTTAAAATTGGAAAGGTCAATTGAAAAATTCTTATAAATTGTTATCAACTATATGAAAGCATTTTTTTCGTGAAATGCTTGAAAATGATTTTTTTCTTTTTATTTAAAGAAAACCCGACGACTCTATCAAAACACACCCCGGAAATCGGATTTGAACTTTTTTCATCTTATAATGGTATTCACTTATTTCTTACTCTTGCGTTAAGTACATGTAGAGCTTGTGTTTCAATCACTTTTGAATAACAATCATAACTTTTTTTTTCATTTTTTAGTTAGAGAGATGACCTCCTTATCACCAAACTATAGTTTGACAAGTAATATCTCAGAAAATACGACTAATGATGTGATATCTGCAAAGGGTAACAGTTTTTTTGATAGAGGTTCTTATATTTTTGCTTTAGTTATCTTGTTTGGCATTGTGATATCCTGTGTAATATTTTTCACAGTTCAAAAAGCAATTTTTAAATGCAAAAGGATTAATGTTATTCAAAGTAGTAACGAAGCTTCCTCAGATATTTATATGGATATAATCGACAATATGTTAGTAGAAACGTTCGACGATTCAACCAATGACAACATGCATTTAAATATATATGACGATTCGGCAATTTCTAACGAAATTAACATAGCATTAGATGAAAACGAACCGACCACCAGTCTTTGTAAATATCCTCCTGAAGAATGCGAAAAATATATTTATAGCGAAGTGATTAAAAATAAGACTATCAAATCCAACCATACTAATGAAACGGGAGAAGCGGTGAGTAGTAGTAAAAAAAAAGAAGAGTCAGTTAAAAGTGAGATTGGTATTCTCGATGAATGCATGCAAAACACGAACGATAACCCAATTGAGTCGATCTCTCAAGACACGCCGATTAAAGCATGTATCTTTGTAAATAAATTTACTGAATCAACTAAACTTTAACTTGTAGATCCTTTAAAACTTTTTTATCCAAGTCGTCGCCCGCGTGGCGCAGTGGTTAGAGCGTCTGCTCTAAAGTCGCGAAGTAAAGAGTCAATCCTTACGTCGCAGGTTCGAATCTCACTTTGGGAGGTGGAGACCGCTCCTTCGGATGTAACCGTATAAACCAAGGTCCCGTGTCGTAGTCAGTAGGTTCTGGCATGAAAAAGATCCCTCCTCTTTTGTCCAGAAGATTAAACATTTGATAATTGATAACCTGTTTTATTACATTGAATGAAGTTTTTAATTTTTTTGAGGAAGGAAAATTGCAAAGATGGCGAGAAAAATAAACTTTAATTTTTTTTTATGTTCAATGCATCTATTTAAGCATATGTGATGTTTAAGAAAAATAACGAAAATTTGAAAAAAAAAAATTGTACAATAATCAAGGGATTTCTTTTTTTAAAAAGAAAGAAAATAGTGTTCAGTAGTTTTTAAACACTTTGTTTACTAAGTATTTATTATCAAGTGTAGCTGTTGATCATGGAAATGAAAAAAAAATGTTATCATGAACATTATATGACGTTGATACAAAAGGAGTTTTAAGAATGCATGCATTTTTCATAATTTAAAGAATTTACATGTATACATGTATTGTTTATTTATAAACTACCCGTAATTTAACTAATGGCATTAGTTTTTTCTTTATAATAATATAGAACTAGATTGTTAATAAAGAAGAATTCTTCATGGTTATATAAACTATATTCATAGTATTTTGTTATGTTTGTTTATGATAATGATATCATTATGAATTGCACATTAAATTTGATTAATGAACAGTTTACTTGCGTTGCAATAACTACAGAAATAAATGAATTATTGTAAGATGAAAAGTAATTTTTAATCCTCTATTTTGTGAATTCTGAACTCTGTGTCCAATCAGATCTGTCAGGTTTTGCAAAGTAAACAAAAGAAAACTATACAATTTTAATTCAAATCATTTTAAAAACCTACAATTTGGACTGATGTCACGATAGTAAATGGTAATTCATATTGTCCTCTTCAATCGCTGTACTGAAGGAGAGATTTTAACGGCAAATTTTTATTTACAAAAGTAAATTTTAAAAAGTATTTATAATTTAAAAATCGTATTATTTATAGTTTTTTAAAAGGTATAAATTCAATGGCAGCAAGTTGATGGGTGAAATAAAGTGAAACATGAAAACAACAAGGAAATAAGAGGAATAAAAAGTACCAGTTACAAACAGGGACAGGAACTCTTGATCTGAAAATGTCAAAAAGTGGAACTCAAATTCAACAGGAAATTGCAGAAATATTGCCAATATTTTCATGCATATTTTTTCGGTCACCTTTTCCATAAATTACTTCAATTTTAAATCAATCAGCCAGTAAAATAAATTATTTGATTCAAGAAGATAGACTTTTAATAGCTTTTATGGAAGATTGCCGATAATGTTTTTACATTATTCGCTATATACTAGTATACCGGTACTCATATTCAGTACATCGACAAGATTTTTATTTAACAAAAGATTGTATCCTATATTGAACTTTATGACCACACAATTCTCTGTAAAGTTTTAAAAGGTTTTAAAAATGATTAGAAAATGTCCAGAGAAGAAGATGCTAGCCGTTTTCTACAATTCGAAGGTGAGATATATACATGTATTTAAGGAATGTTTTTAAGTTTTGTGTGAGTTATTGGTGTGTGAATCACACAGACTTGTCACGTAGGCATATTTCATGAAGCGCGGCATAAGACAGCATTAGACAGCATAAGACAGCATAAAGTGACTTATCCTAAAATTATTTAAATTCAGATCATGTAAAGATATGTCTGATTGGCGGTTTAGAAATGATAACATCTTCTGTTTTATTGGGAAGCACCTGTTCTTTTTTCTTGAAACTTGATTTGATGAGGACAAAGATGACTAAAATGAGGACTAGTAATACGAAGACGGCTAGTAGGATATAAAGCCAAGTAAAATCATCCTCTGACTCCTCTGGCTCTGGAGTTGAACCTGGAATTCAACAAAGTGCATAAAGTAATTTATATATACATGTAGTTTGAAACTTAAGACAGACTTTTGGAGAATATTTATGTAAGCTTATCATATACTTGTGTTATACAATATATAGCTATACTTAATTTTTCCTCAGGTATAGTTTTAGGAATGCATTCAATAATTCATGAATTAAGTCATTCTTCTTATTAAGGGTTAGGAAAATTTATTGCTTTATAACGTTCGAGTCTGTTTTTAAAATGTAAACTGTTAAAACTAAGGTTACACTAATTAAATTTTTGTAGCTATAAAATGTATTCCTTAAAAATTATTTTCCATCAACCAGATCAAAAAAAAAATTATGTCTCCTTCAAAAATGCTCTTACAATAAACATATTTAAACAGTAACGTCACATGGATGGATACGTTTTTGCGTTAATATGACGGTGGTACATGTTTCAGGTTTCACGATGTTTTACAACCAAAATTTGACGACGGATTTTCCGTTATATCTCGATCATGTCAAGGGGCACACGGCGAGTGTGACTGATCAGCAGGAAATGCTCACTCCTCCATATATGGCACGTGATCCCACCTCTAATGTTTTGGAGGTCCGTGCTTGCTCTGCCCCTATATTGTATTGTTTGATGGTGTTTTTTTTTAGCTTGAATACTGTTCGTTATCTCCAAATATTCTATTTATTGACAGTATCCCTTTTTTTTAAGATAAAGGAAAGAACAATAAATGGTATACAGGTACGAGTACAATTATATTTCGTAATCCTAATATTTTTCATTGTATTGTTTACTCTTTATATCATGAGGTAAATATGATGAAAAGCAATTCTGAACTTTATAATAAGATTGTCAAGGAATGTTTCAACTTACAAGAGGATAAAGCTGTATATGTCACGGTCTTTCCATATGTTGACGATAAGGAAGTCGACGTCTGTCCTGTTATACACTCCTCTGGATTAATGGTTGCGGACACAGTGCTACCACTAGTTGTATATACCTTTAAGATAAACTTTAAACTATGAACGACTGTTTTTAATGATGATTTAGTCTTGAACAATCCCTTCTTTTATTTAAGAGTTCTATTTAAGAGTTTCTTACTACAATGTAGGCACAATAAAGTGGTAACATTTTCGTTTAAATGGAACTGTGTAAGTTAATCTTTAGAACGTCGTGTAGGAAATAAAGAAAAAATGAAAGTATTTAAAGTTTGAAATAATCCTGATTTTTCCATCAGCACGAATTTTAATGATACAGTCTTGCAGAATATATATGATAAATGCAATCTATCATTGAGTGAAAAGCTGACTGATGTTTGTTTACTAATTGTTGTATCATTATTAACACACCGAACTGTCGATTTTTTTTCCATTGTTTGCTGATCATGACGAGGCTCACACGGAGGATCTGACCTGTCAGTGGAGTTTTATGAAGAGACTTACTTTTACATTCGACAGCTGACTTTTACATTTTAGTAATTGGAATTTGTCTCTGTTTAAATTGTAGAAGTCAGTCGTCGATTGTAAAAGTAAGCCTCTTCATAAAACTCCATTAGGGGATTCTTACTACCTCCTGGTTCTCTATCCGATGAGATTCATAACGATTGCTCTAATTTTAAATATCTGGACTTAAAATCTAATCTTTTTTAACAGCTTACCATGCATGAAAATTGAAAGCTGGTAGGATTTGTGACAGATGAGTCAGCATTGTACAAAGTGACAAATGTGTCACTTCCTTCAATTCCAGTGAACGCACAATGTAACGTACCCTCACCTATATAAGATATAAGAAAGCCAACTTTTAAAAATGTCAATTATCTTTTATTGGCAGCCCACTGTTATTGAAAGAAAACCGCTGTGTTTGAATTTATGATGCATTTATCAAACAGATGGTATTACATGCCTTTTCAATATCACATCATTTATATTATTAAGACACAAATATCAAGCAGACAGTCGAGATAACAGTTTCATTATTTTCATATCTATTAGCTCCTTAAAAGTAAAATACTGTAATTTATTCTTTTAATAAAAATGATATTTGAAAGAATATCGGACACACGGAAGATTTGAAGATTTCTTTCCGAACACAAAGAATGTCGATAAATATATTTAAAATTTTTTTTAAATCTCCCAAACAAATGACAAAGTCAAAATCAGTCAACACAAATATACCGTTCTTGTCTGTAATTCGGGTGTAATAAAAAAGTTCGTGGACTGAGGCTATAAAATTAATACAATATAGTCTGTGCTTTCAAGATTTATGAGGTACACAAAACAACAGAAAATAAAGAAATGTTGAAATTGTACTTTATGTTCATTATTTGCCAAATTATTATAAAACAAGATGTGTTTGTGAAACACAATGCGCCCGGCGGCAACAAAAATCTAAAAAGCTATTTTAAGCATACTGTAGTGCATAGGTCACAGTCAAGGTCATCAGGTCATTGACCTTGAAGTCATTGGAAAGAACTTGATTAGTGGAGTATGCACACCAAATATGATGTCTCTATCTTTTATGGTTCAAAAGTTATGGTAAAAGTTACAAAAAAGCTATTTTTAGCATATAGGTCACAGTCAAGGTCACCAGGTCATTGACCTTGGTGTCATTTGAAAGAACTTTATAAGTGTAGCATGCATACTAAATATGAAGTCTCTATCTTTTATGGTTCAAAAGTTATGGTGAAGGTTAAAGTTTGCAGACAGAAAAGCTATTTTTAGCATATAGGTCACAATCAAGGTAACTAGGTCATTAATATTAGTTTCAATTGAAAGCACCTCATTAGTGAAGTATGCATACCAAATATGAAGTTTCTACCTTTCATGGTTCAAAAGTTATAGCGAAGGTTAAAGTTTGGGGACAAACAAACAAACAGACAGACAGACAGGACAAAAACAATATACGCCTCGGATCTATCGATCCGGGCGCATAATAAAAACGACATTATATGATCAACTGGTGCCTTCGCCGACTAGTTTCATGACGTCCGACAACGTCATTGTTTTTCAATGTCCGCTTCTTCTACCTCACACACTTTTTTGCTTTGTTCCTTGAAGCTAAGTACATATAAAGACTAAAACCGGTTTTGTTTACATGACTTCACAATTTAATAAACAGCAGCTTTCAATGCATATACCGGTAATATTGCAAATTGATAGATTTATACATTAGGAAAGATCATCTCTTGATTGTGCCAGCATATTTCGCTTTCTGGAGTTCAATATCTACAAAACATGATCAACGTAATTTTTACGTGATTTATTTTTCACACCTAACCTACAAATTGACATTAACGGTGCATTCCTTTTTTATATGAATCTGTTGTTAAATGCAAGAAAAAAAAATAAACAAGTACTCTGGATGCATATCATTTTCTGTAGCCAGTTTATTTATTTCCTATGTCTAAACCAGTTTTTTGGTTTATTCTATAGATAGAAAAGATTATGCAAACTAGTTTAAAAAATCATTGATGTATCGAAAGCGGTTTTAAGGATGGATGATACAAACAAACTTTTGTCAACTTTATTCATATTTCAATGTATTAAATGACTAACTTTCACCGCTTAGTTTTTAATTTCTTATTCAAATTTGCACAAACTCGAATTTAAATGAAAAAATATTAGTATAGATTAATAAGGATGGTTTCAGAAGGGCAGACTTTTGAACCTCACAGAAGGTTAACGATTTCTTTCTTTAAGTTCTAGAAATTTATTATTTGTATTATTTGCCATCAAATTACGCCAAAAAATATATAACAATCCAGGCATCTTTTTTTTGTTTGTATCATCTGTCCTTAATTTTTTTGGCGCTAGTACACGAGCTTTTTGATACCCCTCGTACAATTTAAGAAAGAAAGTGATGAAGGAAGAACCCTACTTCTGCAAAAATGAGTAATTATAAACAAATTAATAATTCACGTTTTTAAATAATTTTCCCTAATGAGGATTTATTTATTTTCACGAGAATGAAAATATACAAGAATTTTGTGTCAAAGGTCAAATAAATCCCACGTCAAATCACAAAACATTAATTAATGTCGTATTTATTCATGAGAAACATTTTATATCTTCTATACATTGTATCAAGCATATATAGTACGATTTTAAAAAAAATCAGTTTTGCACTTCAAAGTAATGTAAAGTAAATATACTGAAACGAAAAAGAAACGCAACAAGCAGTAATCTACAAATGTTTGAATTAAAAAAAATATTTTCAAAAATTAATACAGTAGGGCTGTACTCAGTTTTTCAAAAGATCAGAGCTTTGATAAAAATGTTAAATGTTAATCATTTTACTTTACTCAGTAACATATGCCAGTTAAAACACCCCTTCCCAACCATTCAAGTAAAACGCGCAAGACTGCCCTAAACAACAACTGCAGCGTAATTTTTACGATACAATAGGTTCGTAAATATCGAGATCTGAGCGAATATTAATTTTTAAATGCCCGTTTTTCAGATGATTAGGTAAAATTTTCTCTAACTTAGAGCAGTGAAACCACCTTTGGACTTCCGGTACAAGGATTGTCCTCAATGCATATGATACGTAAGACCCTGTTGAGGCGTAATGTAGTGAATTTTTGCATCAGCAACTCTCCATCACCTTTACATTGAAATTTTCAGCTAGAGCAATGAAAATGCGTACTGAAGTCATTTTCAAGAAGCCTTAGCATCGTTAGGGGGAACAAAAGGAGAGGGGTCTTTTTTGAAATATTGCTACATTACTTATGGTTAACAGTAAAAAACCCTTAAAATTCCATAATATTGCCAAATGTTTTGTTAAACATGCAATTTTTGATTTCTGTCAAGCAGACTCAAACTTGACTTCCGCTTATGTTATGAAAATCGTTCATGTTTACCAAATTGAAGATATCAATAATTTTAGATACAAAATTCTTTACTTTACACAATTATTTACCCTAGAGTAGGGTGTTACGTTTCTTTTGCGTGTCAGTATACATTTAAAAGGTATCCGTACCATCATTAAAAGCTAATAGGACTTTAGTGTAGTAAATTGCATTGCAATTTCAAAACTTGGTATTTATCACTGGGTAAAAGATATGAATACTCACTGGAAAACATTGGATTATCATTGCATAAAGTGTCGTTGTATATAAACATTGTTTTGTTTGTACACGTGTCCAGCAAGGTATCAGTGCATGCAAGTCCCGTGTATGTATATGAAAAGATTCCTTGAATACTTGTTGGACAAGTGACCATTGCTGAAACTGCGTGTCCTGTTTTAAATTTCATAAAGAACGTTAACGAATCAAAATACACGTACCAATAAAATATTCCATATTGCACTGGGTGTAAAGAGTTCATCAAACGCTAAAGGCAATTAAGTGGATTTAATTACAAAAGTAATTAGGTAATGATCATTTATGAAATTTTTCATTTTTTTCAGAAGCAAGGATATTTTTTGAATTAGATGAAAAAAATTATTAATGTTATGTGCCTTCTCAATAAATACCTTGTTTGACTGCAACATGGTATCTTTCCATTCCTAGATTAGAAATGTCATTGCATACTTCTCCTTGACTTACACTTGTGACTGAAATATGCTTGATGATAACACGCTCGTACACAGAAGGTGATGTTTTAACTTCATGTTCAGCTTAAAAAAATAAGCAAAAATATATAATTCATCATAAGCACTGATTACACAATTGACTACGTTTACATAACTGTGAAAACAGTGACATCAAAGAAAAGAAACAGAACATTTATGTTATTATCTTCGCAGAAGTGTTTCTTCACAATACGAAACCTTTCGATATTTTATCGATATTCATTATTGTGCAAACTTAAAGAAAATAAAAAAATGTAATATTACTCACATGTATGAATGCTGAATAAATATTTAAAGTAGCTCTGCATTGTGAAGCTCATGCAAATGTAAATATAGGTATCTACAGTTGTAAAGGGTCTATAAATACCATTTGACCTACAATTTAAACGGATTTTTTAAAAATATTTATTCAATACAAACATAGTATGGTAAAATTCTGTCGCTATCAGACTTGAATTTAATGCTAAGGTTGCGTTTTTGGTGATAAAATTAGATTTTTTTTCAGAATAAGAACTATTTTTGGAGGTGGGTGGGGTGGGTGTGGGGTGGGGGAAAGAACGTGCAGATATTGAACAAAATTTATTGGAGACAGCGATGTTACTCTTTTCATGACAGTAAAACACATGTAAAATCTCGTGATTAACAGCTTATACAGTTTCATGCGGTTTGACTTCTGCAAACATATTGCAGTATAAAGTACTCGCTAAATAAAATATACCTAGTGTAATGATATTTTTATGAGATTTGTTTATTCCTTAAGAAATAATAATATAAATCGGAAATATTGTTAACGTCAATGACAACCCATATGTTACTTTTAATAAAAGAAATTATATTTTTTCAATTTCTAAAAAAAATGCATATTTATATTAGCGTTTTTGTTTGAACAAGTTTACGATGTGAGTACTTTTCATGTTGAAAAACGTCATAAAAACATAAAATGAGAGAGATGAGCTTAAGAAAAAACATTCCTGAGATCTGGCGCATCTTTTTCATACTTGGATATTTTACTTGAAAAGGACCATAATGGTTATCTAACAACCATATTCTGTGATAAATGTGATGACTTTAACTTTTCAATGTCAAAGACAGTAATCAAAAGAAAACAAGATGTGTTTGTGAAACACTGATGCCCCCTCCCCCCGAACGGTAATGACTAGGACTTATATACTTCACATACGCATTTCTTGTGACAAGACATTTCATTGGATACAAAAATTTGGAATTTGACCTCCTTTTTAATAACTTTAACCTTAGCCAGAAGGTTTGCACAGTTAGGGGGCTAGGGCCTATTTTTTTATGCGCCCGGATCGATAGATCCGGGGCGTATATTGTTTTTGTCCTGTCTGTCTGTTTGTCTGTTTGTTTGTTTGTCTGTTTGTCTGCAAACTTTAACCTTCGCCATTACTTTTGAACCTTGAAAGATATAAACTTTGGTATACATACTTCCCTAATTAAGCTCTATCAAATGACACCAAGGTCAATGGCCTTCTGACCTTGACTGTGACCTATATGCTAAAAATAACTTTTTATGTACAAACTTTAACCTTCGAAATCATTTTTGAACCATTAAAGATAGAGACTTCATATTTGGTTTGCATACTTCTCTTATCAAACCCTTTCAAAAGACATCAAGGTCAATGACCTTATGACCTTGACTGTGACCCATATCCTAAAAATAGTTTTTTCGTCCCTTTGCCATAACTTTCGAACCATAGAAGATGGAGACTGTGTATTTTGTATTCATACTCCACTAATTAATTTCTTTCAAATGACACCAAGGTCAATGACCTTATGACCTTAACTGTGACCTTTATGCTAAAAATAGGTTTTTTGTACCTTTGCCATAACTTTTGAACCACAAGAGATAGAGACTTCATACTTGGTATCCATACTAGACTAATCAATTTCTTTCAAATGATACCAAGATCAATGACCTTGACTGTGACATATATGCTGAAAATAGCTTTTTTAAAAGATGTGTTGCCGCCGGGCGCATAGTGTTTTAAAAAAACATCTTGTTTAAAATTGTATTTCTTGTAAAAAGGCCTTACTTACGATACCAACATATTGGATTTGCATTTGAGACAGCTTAACGTTCGCTATGTTGCCATTCGTTCAAAACTTACCTTGGCATCCGATGAATCAGAAGAATTACGTATGTGAAGTATGTACCTCTTAGCCCGTTTAAAACTTACCGTGGCACCCGATCCTACATCTGATGTTTTGGAGGACCCTAGCTATTTCCTCTGCTCCTATTTTGTTTTTTTTATGGACTTTTGATCTTGAATTACTGTAAAAGTGGTTATTTACGCGTGGGGGAAAATTACACTACTTACGCGGTAAGCTAGAAACCGCGTAAAATACCCCCGCGCGTATGGTCTCAAAATTTCAATCTTCTGGAATAATTCTAGATAATTACCTATACTGTTAGACGGGTTGAATCAGTCGTATATTTATCGTGGTATTGAACGCACGTGAATAGATAGATATATCACTTGTGATGAAAACGTCACTGTTTATTATGTTACTTGTGCGATGAAAAACGCATCTTCATATTTAGTATTTTAAAGCAACGTCAAGCAATTAAAGCTTCATAATGTTCATCGATACTCATTTCTATTTCCTTTCTATATTCGTTTATAGTGTTCTTAATTTCAAATGATATAGTCCAAAATGTTACATAAATTCTCAGTCACTACTAACATACCTATTAAATTAATTGTCAAAACTTGACACGCAGATGCAGGTTAGTAGATTTCACTTCGAAGTTCGAGCTTGCTTAAATAATTGCAATAAAGCCTACACCAGTTGTTCACACTTCACCGCATTTGACTGTGCACATCGACGTTATATTTACAATCCAACAGTATAAATTCTTATTAATTTGTTTAATTTGTTTTTAATTATTGAGGTCTTCCGTCTTAACTGGAAGACCTTTCTGTTAATCTTAGGTTTCTTTTTCACTTTTATTTTTGTTTTTTCTTACCGACTTTGTGCACGCGATTTCTCGAAAACAGCTTGATGAATTTTCATGAAACTTTCAGGACTTATGTATCATCACTTGAACCTTGTGAGTTTTTTTTTCTTTTTTGTTGACGTCACTTCCGGTCTGAGATATTGCCGATTTTATGAATTTTAAAAGGTCAGGTTGTCCAGAGTTTTTCTGGAAAATGGGTTAAGATAGAAATATGAAACTTTCAGGTATGATAGACCTAGGTCTGTAGATGTGCCTTTCGCACTTTGCTTTATCCTGAAACGCCGCACGTCGGCGCTCGATATGGTCCGAAAATAGTCCTGTCGTGAATTTCAAAATTTCTAACACCTTTTCTTCCATATCTTTTTACCTAAAAATATTTTGTTAAAACATAAAGAACAAAAGAAGTGTGGAATTCTGAACTCTTTCAATAATATCTCGAAAAAGTGGCTGGTCCTTAAAATTAAGGGCTTAGAGGGGCCGAAAGTTTTTTCTTTATATCTCAAAATGTATTGAGAATTTGTAATACGTCAAAGAAGCAAAGTTGTTTAAAATGTCAAGCTTAATCTATTAAAGTCGTCAAAATACTTCCGGTTAGCCGGAAGTAGTCGGAAAACGCGTATTTTTGTTCGAGAAGTTTTTGGATAACATACGTCTTTAGGAGCATAAAAATTAATTCTTCGTCCGTTGTCGTCACTTCCGGTAAAACCGGAAGTAGTAAAAACAGCTTATTTTTGTATTTATTTAGATAGCTTAAAACCATTTTTGGCCGTTATTTCTAATTCTTAAAAAAGAAAGCTGCTTCTTGTCAAATAGGACGGAAGATCTACTCGTTGCTTTGCGACGAGCTTTGCCCTAGTTTTTAATTATTTTTTAAAATCATTTTCAAAGGGGAACAACCTGATGTTAGTTGAGATATCGATGGCCGCGTAATTTTTTTCGGTAACTGGTGGGACCGCGTATATTATACCCACGCGTAAGGTTTGGCAGTAACAAATGCGTACTTAACAACCACTGTGAATAACCACTTTTACAGTATGTTCTTTATCTCCATGTTTTAATGAAGAAGGTTTGGGTATTGGATTAACCATAAAAATTTTATTACAATGAAAATGAATTTAGCAGAAGGACATTACTTTAAACACATACACAAACCTATGAAAACCATACAATGTAGAAGGGATCAGCTACCACATAAGAAATAAGCATCTCCTGTTGATCGGTTACGTTGACAATTAATAATATGTACTGATCAGGGATACTGAGTTATCAGTAATAGTTATAAGCTGAAAACTGTCGTTTATGTCAGATATTAGACGACCCGAGGCGCGTTAGCTACTACTCTATGACATAATGGACAGTTTTCGGCTCATAAATTACTTCAATAATTTCACCACTGTCTATCACTTCCATTGTTAACTGATTGTACACCCACAGGTAAGGTCTCGTGCTGCTTGGATGACTACCCAGCAGGCACACAACATTGAATAAACTTTGAATCAACATTGTTTTTCTATGTTGATTCAACATTGATTTTATGTTAGATTCAACGTTGAAGTCTTAACATTGAATCAACATTGATAATCAACGTTGATTATATGTTGAAAAACAGTTGATTCAACATTTATTCAATTATTTATTTTGGAAAGGGGGGTGTCATATAGTAATAATATAATTACTTAAAATTTCAACCGTTTTATTACACAGTTGCTAAGATGTTTTCTTAATTGTTGAAAGGATAGCGACCCTCTGATAAGACAGATAACTTTCAAAGTACAAAATAGTAATACTACTCTCAGTTTTCTAAATCAGCAGTTTCCTGAGATCTCTGAGTATTCAACGTTAAATTTTCAACGTTAAATTTTCAACGTTGAAAAGTCAACGTTGAATCAATATTGTATCTAGATTTATCAACGTCTAAACCCAACTTCAACTAATATTCAACGTTTAAACAACGTTGTGTGCCTGCTGGGTACCTGGCACTGTGCATCAGGTTAGGCCAAAAGAAAACCAGTTTTGGTTTTTCTTTTGACTTTATACATAATAGGAATCATCTAGAGGTGTTTTATCGATAAATATGAACAATAACTTTGTTTAGTCTTATTTATCCGCAAGTCAGTTTTATTAAATTCTTGACAATTTATTCATTTTACAATGCAACGACCACAGCTGACGACGTACATTTTGATTTAAAAAAACAACCTTCAGAATCGGGTGTTTTGAGGCTGTCATTTATCATTTACACCAAAATGCCTCAGTTCAAGTTTTCTATTGTGAAACCCGGATTTATGTTTCGGAATTTGTAAAAAACAGTTTCTCATTAACAGGTAAATTTTGTAATGCAGTAGCATTTGAAGAAATTTACTCCAACCAGTCTTTAATCGTTTT